CCAACATGGGTGCTGGGAACTGAACTCAGATCTTCTGCAAGAGCAGCAAGAGCTGTTAACCCCTGAATCATCTCCAGCCCTTGGAACTGATTCTTAAAATAATTCCATCTTATTATATAAGTCAAATAATGTAAACCCAAGAGAAAATGCAAATGGTTGATAAATGTGTGAAAAGATGCTTAGTCTCATCACATCAGGAAAATAAACTACAATTTGCCTTACTGGATCAGCAGGAAGTAAACACAAATCATCCAGGCTGGAAGAAGATAGGATGAAGAGGGCAATCTAGGGTGCATTTGAGAATTCTGTTGCTTCTAGATCTGAACATCAGCAGTGTAAAGGGTACAAAGGATTCTGGGAGAGAAGACTCACCTCTGTCCTTTATTGTCCCCACCCCCTACCTTCCTTTGAGGCTTGCATCAGCAGAGTCAGGGCCATGTTTAGAGCAATGAGCTCTGAGGAGCCCAGCAACCCTTGAGCTGTTGGCTCTGCTATGTGCCTCTTGCCCCACCAAGAGCCCACTCCAACAGCTGATCCTGGGGCTGGAGAAAGCCATGCTTACCCTCCCCACTCTGGCACCATGCGCATCAGCAAGTTCTTTACCCCCATGACTTTCCACCAGCTCAGCTGCTGGAGTCTCTCCCTACTATTTCCTGAGTGCTCACTGGTGTCAGAATAGCTTTTCACTTTCTCACATTGGCATTCTGTCTTCAAACAACCTATAAAGTAATTATTAGTTCTGTCTCAATTTTACATATGAGAAACTAAGATTCTGAAGGTTAAATGGCTTTCCTGAGAACACCCAGTTCGTAATTGGCAGAAAAGGTCCTGATTTTTCTGGTTTGGGAATATCATCTGTATGTAAAAGAGAAGTTTTTGGAGTGAAAACCATGTTTTTCAACAGTTTTCTCTTCCAGAAGACTGAATCAGAACAGATTCCCAAAGAAATGGTTAAGGAGTGAGAGGCTCGCCAGGTCAGGTGACTCCAGAGCCCAAGCTGAATCCCAAGGATCTGCTCCCTTCCTTTCTGAAGCATCCTATCCCTGCTGTCAGGGTTACCGCCAGTCCACCTACATGTGGTCCCTGTGCAAGATGCCTCTGCTCCAAAGCCACCATCTACTGGATCCAGCAGATGCCAGGCCGGTGCCATGGCCTGCTGTGGTGGTCAATATCAACAGCAGCCTGACAGGATCTAGAATCATGTAAGAGATAAGCCGCTGGGCACGTCTATGAGGAAGATTCTAGATTAGGTTAATTAAGATGGGAAGACCCACCCTAAATTTGGGTTGCATCATTTCATGGGCTGGGGTCCTGGACTGAATAAAAAGGGGAATGAACGTCACCATTCACCTCTCTCTGCTTCCTGGGTGTGACTGTAACGTGACCAGCTGCCTCAGGCTCTTGCCACCACGCCTTCCTTGCCATGTGATTGATGTACCCTCAAACCATGAGCCAAAATAAACCTTCCCTTCCTTCAGTCACTTCTGTCAATATTGTGTCACTGTTCCTAGTGCTCTGATTTTGACTCACAGCGGCTTTTCCTTTTTCTGGGAAATTGGGAAAATCCCGAACAAGTTCACCCCAAATTTATCCTCTTAAATTTGGGCTGTCTTTGATCAGAAGGCCTAAAGAAGGGGGCATAAGAATCTCCTCCTTCTAGCAGAGCATATGATGGCCTTATTCCATAGACCATGGAGATGGCCAAGATTCTGACCCTACCAAGACTTCTAGCCTCTTGCTATAGTCACAGCAGCTGCAGTTTGACCAGTGACATGTGATTTAAGCATTCACCAATCAGAATTTTAGGAGAACATCTCATTAGCATGAATTGACGATGAAGGGTGACGCTCCCTGTCCCCACTTTTGAACAAATAATCACAGTACATGGTATAACTGAGAATTGCCTCCAGGAAATTAACCAGGAAAGTAAGGGCCTTGATAGATTCATTTTAAGAAATTCCCAGGCAATGATCTACCATAAGAAACACTGATGTTACATGCTTTTGCTTCAAATTAACATGGAGTTGTCATTAACAAGAGACAGAACAACTCAAAGTCACTTACAATGACACAGAAGTTTAGAGTCTCCTATATTCCAAACATGGAAACGGCCACAGAGGACTGGGCAGGAGATACCTAAGGCTGGAGCTCTCAATTCGCGATTCTCTTTACTGGTCTCTCATCTCTGCCTCTTTGTTGATTTGTTCTTCTGAGTTCAGGAGAACCAGTGACTGCTGGGGAAGGAAGGATGGGAAGACCAGGCTTGTAGCTTCTCCATCCCGTAGCCAACAATCTGTCAGTAGTCCAGTAGGAAAATTCTGGAGAAAGACTCAAGTTGGACTCTTTTGGACCATGTGACCTCTCTGATAACTAAAGTGGACCTTGTTATCATCAAAAAGCAGGGGGGAGGACTGGGACTGGGGATGTAGCTCAGTTGGTAGAGTACTGTGCTCGTCTATCATACTAGGTCTGATCCCCAGTACTGCATAAATCAGGTGTGGGTGGCACAGGCCTGAATCCTAGCACTCAGGAGGGAGAGGCAGAAAGATCAGAAGTTCAAACCATATTCAACTTCAAATCGAGTTTGAGGCTAAGATGGGCTAAATGAAAGGAGCGGGATGCCTCTACTCCAAGCTCTACCAGCTACTGGGATCTGGCAAATGCTAGGCTGGTGGGCCATGGAGGGCCCGGGAAGGAAAATATGCACAGAAAACAGAAAAACAGATATTATAGTTTTATATACCTAATTGGTTGTAGAATATCCATTTAATTTATATCATCAAGTTTTATACTATGAAATAGGTTAGATAGACTCTAATAAAATTATGACCATTGGAAGTTAGGTTGTAAATCATTAACAATATTTTTCCTTTAATTCACTCATCACAATTTTAATTAATATATTTATTGAGTGATCACTTGATCATTGCTTGTTTGTTCAATCAGAATGAAAACCCAGAGATGAGAAGCAATTTTATTTCCCATGATTTGCTCAGCATCTAGAGCAACGCTGTAGAGAGCCGGCATCTAACACATCCTTTCAAGTAACTGAAAAAAGAACCACCTTAGTCTTGATGCTAAATTCAATAAAAAGCACTGGAAGATTGTCAAGTTAAAGAATCATAAATTAAGAAACACTGTGAGAAAGAGAAATGAGACGAAAGAATCAGAAGATCCAACTGGCCCCATCACTCACTGCCTTCCAGAGAACACAGCAGAGATGTGGAGCCTTCCACCAAGTCCCAGGAGCCAAGATGTCATAAGACTGTTAGCTAATTCTTGCCAGGGGTGGTGGCGCACGGCTTTAATCCCAGTGCTCAGGAGGCAGAGGCAGGAGGGTCTCTGTGAGTTCAAGGCCAGCCTGGTCTACATAGTGAGTTCCAGGGCAGCTGGGGCTACAGGGAGACCCTGTCTCAAAAAGACAAAAAACAAAAAAAAAAAGAAAGAAAAGAAAAGGAAAAAAAGAAAAGGAAAGAAGAAAAGAAAAAAGACTTAGCTAATTCTGAAATGTTCAAAGTTTGCAGAAAGAGTTGATCTGAATATTATGTGACAGACAGAAGTGCGCTTAGGAAACTTATCATCTATCTCTGTATTTCCAATTGATGCAATTTTAAAACAGAAATACCATCAAACCAGACATCTAGACTGATCTCTTACATGGTTTTTGCTTAATGCAACAAGATCCTAATGAAAACCGCACCACGTGAGTGCTCTGTTGGGTTGTGCTGACGCCTACAGCCTTTCTGATGCTCAGCTACATATGTCCTTGCTCTGTGTATATATTCCAGGGCTTGTACAGGGTCAGTTAAAATCCACAGCTTCCCCTGACAAAGACTTCCTGTGCCTGAGCCAGGTCAGGCCAGGCCACTGTGGTGGTGAACAGTCTGCAGGAGCTGTGGGTGGGAACCGAGCATCCCCTTTCCAGCAGAAAGGAAAAGAGGTCTGTGGGAAAGTGCCAGTGGGGAGGGCTGCACAGAGGCGCAAGCACCGGGCCTGGAGTGTGTTTGTCTGGGGCACAGACAAGCAATTTCACGCAGTGACAGAGAAAGGAAAAGAGGTTGAAGAAAAAGAAAAGGAACAGGTTTTGACGAGGTACACTTTATTTCTTTTACAGTTTTTCTGGGACACATAGATGGAGGGTGTGTCAGCCTTTTGTTGCTGTGGAAAATATTGAGAGAAACAACTTAAGGGAGAAAAGATTTATTTTGGCCCACCATTTCAGTCCAAAGCTGGGTTGGCTGAAGAGCCTGTGGTAAGGAAGAAACTCCTGGCAGAAGGGTGTAGCAGAGCAGAGTTGCTAGGAAGTAGAGACAGACAGGGCAGGGGCCAGGGCAAGAGACAGCCCTCAAGGACATGCCCCCCCCCCACCATAATCTACTTCCTCCAGCTAGGCCCCACCTACTAAGCTTCCAGAACCTGCCAAAATACATCAGTAGCTGGGGGCCAAGCTTTCAACATATGAACTTTTGGGGGTCATTTCACATTCCACCCATGACAGGGGGAGAACATGGCATTGAGTCTTGCTGGTGCCCCGAGGGGACGTGTTCCTAAGGGAAGAAGAAGGGGTTCTCATGTAGGGAGGTGTGTGGCAGGGACCACTGTCTTCCCCACCTAGAAGCTCCCTGTCTCCACATAGATCAGAGAATAGTATTCGTTGATGACTCTTCACCAATTAATCCTAAACACCATTAAGAAGGTAGAGCACTTGGGCTGTACTTTTCCATCTGTTCCTCTTTCCTTTCCACTGAGCAATTCACACCCAAGTGACGACGTCTTCAAGACAAGACTTACCTCACAGTTAATTCTATAAACAGGAAAATGTAATGCTGAGAGTAAGAACAAATGGAATGAATTTGTCAAATTAAAGAGTGGTTGATACTAGATGAAGAAAAAGGAAAACGACACCTATTTCAGCCATGAAAATAATCATTCTAGACTCCTGTGGCCAAGTAGAAAGAGCACTGTACCTGGAGTCCATCCAAGCCCTTACCTCCTAGCGCAGGTCTGACACTGGGTGACTCTGGGTGGGTTTTATTCTTTTGTTTTATGCATTCCTCTGAAAAACGACAAAATAATAGGTAAGTTCTTCAGACTTCATTTTCTGACTGTGATTTTCATTTTGAAGGAAGAATGACACAACTTGCTGACTCCACCTTGCAGTGGTTCTCTGCTCCCTGGGGGAAGATCTAGAAAGGATTTCCCCCATGAGGGAAAGAAGCTGCTATGACAGGACTTGGGCTGAGCATCGATCCAGGAGTGTTTTCTTTTGAGGTACATCGGCAATTCAGCCACTCTCTGAATCATTCACAGTCTGCTCATTCCCTGTGAGCTTATCCTTCCTGGAGTGGTTTTGAAGCGGCCACTTCCTAGAACCTCTTTTAAAGGAGCAAAATACTTTCCACACAAAAATCCAACCAAGACTGACTACTTCAGGTAAATTAATGAATGACACTCCAAGTTTTAAGATTCAGTTCTGAACAATGGTTGCTGAGCCTTTTGCATATTGTCAATGATCTGCTCTGATGAATTTTATTTTAGTTTTCATTCCTGGGCTCCATTACTACAGCTTAGTCCTCTCTCATCTTCCCATCAAACCATCTCACCATCTCCATCAGCTCTGAACCCACCACACTACATACTTTTTTTCTTCTCCTTTCAGGAATTCTGCTTCTAATGACAGCAGGATAAACTCCAAGACCTCAATCCAACCCTCACACCTTTCCCACTGGCCAATCGGAGCCGCCCTTGTCACCGTCCCCCCCACCCCCCATTTCAGTGTTGCGCCTCAGACCCTAGCTCATATTCTTCACTTACTTAAAGCATTCTCCTGCTTCTCAGTCAGCCAAATCTTGAGTCTTCCAGACGCAGCCCAAACCCACCCTCCCTCTGGAGCGCTTTCTCCGTGTCTTGAAGGGGCTACCCCTACTCTGTAGAGTGCACTGCTTGACTCGGCAAAGGCTAAGACACTGTGGTGTTTCCTAACAGGGCCAGGGTATCCTCAGCAGGGCTGAGTCCACTTTTAGTTGACATGAGCTTAAGGGTCCTCCAAATGCTGTCAGATGAATCAAAGTACAAAGGTACGGGGGACAAAGGCTGGCTCTGAAGGGTCTTCCCAGCACAAGACCTGGGGGTCCAGGCTTACTGGGCTTCTGGTGTCCTGGAGAATTGGAGGAAGGGCTGAGGTGGTGGATGGAGTCTGGGGGTGACAGGAATTCAGACTGTACCTGGGAGGCTGCTGTGGGCAGCTTCAGCTCCTCTCACCACCTGTGGTCTTCTGGGTCGTATCTATTACTCTATTTCTACTTCCTGTACCTTCAGCCTGCCCCCCCGCCCCAAAGATCCTTTTACCGTAACTAGAAAGATTGGTAGGAGTTGGATTTCCTAACATGGCAGAGATGTGGGGTTTTCTCTGGGGCCTCATACCACTTGCCCTTAATCTTTATCACAATGAATCAAAGTAAACTTTTAAAAACATTGCAAGTGGCTGTTTGGCTGAGGCCTGGCACTGCATCACTCTGGTGGTTTGTTTGAGTGAGAGTGAAATGATAATATGGCTAGCCCACATTTACTTCTCTCTGACTGTGTCAGGCAGTTGTGAGTGCCAGTCATTCAGTTCTACACTTGATGCTTGCCAACTCTTCCATGTCCAGTTGACATGACCATACTAAACAGTGGAGAACACCTGTAGGGTCAAAGGTTCACCACTGTCACTGTTCGGGTATGGAATGCCTCGCACAGGCTCTATTGTCTGTGCCTGGTACCCAGTTTTTGGTACTAATTTGAGGGCTATGAAGCCTTTAGGAGGTGGGGCCTGAAAGGCAGGAGCAGGTCCCTAAGGACAGGCCTTTGAAGATATTGCCCAGCTCTGGTTCCAGGCTGTATCTGCCTCTGGGTCCACCACAATGTGAACAGCTCCTTGAGCTCCTGCCACACTTTCCTGCCACGACGAACCAAAGTCCCCCTGAAACTGTGAACCCAAATAAACCTTTCCTCCCTTCAGTTGTTCCGTGGAGTAACTTTGCTCCTTTGCCATCACACAGCTCAGGAGAATCAGAGCCTTGCCCTTAGCTAGTGTTTTCATCTTGTTTTGTTTCAGTCTGGGGGAAGCTGGGCAGAGGAGCTTTTTCACAGGGCTGGGCTGAAACTCACATGTCTGTGGGAGGTAGTCTTCGCCTTCCTGACTTCTCCTTGCGCACTTTCTGGAACAGAGGGCCTCTCATTACCTGAAATATGAAAATGGCAAATATTTAATTATTCATTTTCCATAACCCTTAATGAGGGGATTGACTGCAAAATGAAACAAAAGGAGAGTCTGACCTTCAGGCTGTCAGGAAGTGATAATTACTGAAAACCTCAAGTTCCTTTAAACGCACAAATGAGAGGGTTTAACTGATCATGATGCAAATGAGTCATCAGGGTCACTAACTGATTGATCCCATAATGGACAACGAGACAGTAAACATTGTGCTAAAAATACATTTTCTTAATTAGTGCACAGGTGCTCTTCTGTTCCTAGAGGCCTTTAACTCACCCAACCTTTCCAGCTGGAGGGATGCAGGGTTGTGATTTGCAAGGACAGGGAAGGGAGGCTGTGCACAGGAGTGTGGGAGTCCACGGGACCTCAAATGCAGAAGAGCCCTGGCAAGGCAGAGTTAACTTGGAGGCGCATTAACCACACTTTCCACGCCAACTGGTTGGATTTTCATTACTTGGTTCATGGGTTTAACCAAATGTTCGTGGAAGCATTCTGTCGCTTGGCATGTAAACACAGCCTTTTAATCTGACCTTCGCTGTTACAATGGTCATAAATAGCTGCGAATTACTACTGTCGTGCAACTCTTGACTTCATCACAGATTTGGCTGAGCAGATGGGGCCACGTGCCAGGCACCGTTGCAGTACTCATCTTTCCCTGGGCATTTAATGAGCACACTGTGGTAGGGGCTCCCTCCTCACCCTGTTCTCTGCCAGGATAATACATTTTTCAAAGGCCATCAAGCTTTGAAAGTCTCCACACACTGATACTGCATGACATATAAATATATATCTGTTCAGAATATGGTGAAATGAGTCACTATTAATAACTCGGAGTCCTGGGGATCCAGGCAGTCCATTCTGCTGCCCGAAGTCCAGAGTGTTTGCTCGGTGCTTTAGTTTTTAGTTTTTTTAAACTCTGTTCTTGGAGTGCTCCGTACACCTCCTATTTAGATCCACCGAGTACACTGAACTATATCTATGGTCTTACTAGGGCATTCCAGAGCACAGTGGAACAGAGGGCCTTTAAAGCCATTGGGGTTCTTAAAATCATGCTTGCCAAACAGACAGTCCCTACCATAGCAACCACCATCCTTGCCATATATGCAGAAATTGCTAGAGGAAAAGTGAAGGACTTCTCTAAGTTATTTATACCGGTACTAGTATTATACCATTGGCTATTTCTCGAACATTCAATACTTGCAGACCTAGCACTTCTATGGGTCATCGCTAACTCTCACATCAATCCCACACTGCATGTTATTCTTACTTCACAAACCTAGGCTCAGCTGTCAAGGAGCGGGCCTAAGCTGACACCTACAATCCAGCTGGAATCCAACCACAATGCTCTTTGGCATGAGCAACGGGAAACTGCCAGTCAATTATTTCTTACCAGAACTGACAATTTTATGGTTCAACTTAATACTCTAATATGTTGACCTTAAAAGGAAATCTAGAATCTCCCGACATCACAGTCTCTTTCTAGGCTGGCAGTGTGCCGATGGAAGAATGTTCTAATATAGGCCTGGGTTGGGGATGGGACAGAGCAAAAGGTAACGGAATCTACTGTTTCTGTAGCCTAAACTGCCAAAGCATCAAGGTGCTGTAGATGGAGGCTGCTAGGCCAAATCATTTCTCTGAGTTTTCCCTTAGAAATAATGTAAACTCAAATTTCCATTTCAACTCATAGTTTTCGCCATTGATATGGTTAGAATGGGAGAAATTAAGGGGTTTAATGATAGCTATTGCATGGGATATATAATAGCTACTGAGTAGTGAATTAAATACATAATAGTTGGGAATGTTTGTGTTACAAACCTTGCATCAAAGGAGACACAGAAGAGCATCAGTCAGTGAGGATGAATGTGAGGTTGGGGGGTGCAATGTTTTACTGAAACGGAGCTGAAGCAAAACCCCACTGGTGGCAGCCACTCAACTCTCTGGTGCCACCAGCACTCATTCTTTAAAAACATTTTTTTTAATTGATTTTTATTTTACCTATATGGGTGTTCTGCCTGCATGTACGTAAGTGCACCCATGTGTGCAATACCCACAAGGCCAGAAGAGGGCACTGGATCCCCTGAAACTAGAGTTAAGGACCATTGTTAGCCACCATGTGGGTGCTGGGAACCCAGCCTAGGACCTCTGCAAGAGCAGCCAGTGCTCTTAACCACTGTACCATCTCTCCTGTATCCCTGCCCCTTGCAGAATTATTATTGAACCTAGGACCAGTGCCACAGCTCATGTGCTAATCCCCAACCCCAATCATAGTTTGCTCCAGGTAACATTCTGTTCCTTTCTATCTATATTTATTTTCCTTGAAAATAATACAAATAGCCGGGCATGGTGGCACACGCCTTTAATTTCAGCACTCTGGAGGCAGAGGCAGGCAGATCCCTGTGAGTTCAAGGCCAGCCTGGTCTACAGAGTGCCAGGCCAGCCAGCTGGGGCTACAAGGAGACCCTGTCTTAAAATAAGAAAAAAAAGAAAATACAAATAAAAAAATCTTCCCCCAAATTAACACAGTATAATGAATCAAATACCTAGACAATTGTATTTAAGATGGGATACAATGGGGAGGGAGTGCACAGGACAGGGGTTCGAATCCCAGCACCCACATGGAGGCTAACAACCATCTGTTAACTCCAGTTCCAGGGGATCTGATGCCCTCTTCTGGCCTTGTGGGCATTGTATGCATGGGTGCACTTACAAACATGCAGGAAGAACTCTCATACACACACATACAAAAAAAAAATCAAAAAAGTTTTTCTCAAGATTAAATATAGTAAACTAGATTCTCTATATTTGAAACACGATTTTCAAATAACTTTTTATTATTATTGTTTTTATTTATGTGATGTGTGTATTGCCTGCATATATATGAGTGCATCTATGTTGTGCACTGCCTATGGAGGACAGAAAAGAGCACTGGATTTCCTGGAACTGGAGTTACAGATGGTTGTTAGCCTCCATGTGGGTGCTGGGATTCGAACCTGGGTCCTCTGCAAGAACAGCCAGTGCTTTTAACCACTGAGCCATCTCTCCAGCCCCTCAACTAACTTTTAATGTTATTAAAACTGTTAATGTTTACTTAAAAACAAAGCGAAGAAGAAAAGGATTTATCACCACACCCACATGTGGTCTCTCTTTCCTTTCCTTACTAAGCTTACTTCCCATTTAAAAGGTACCAGATTTGATGGACTAGAGACTCATGACTCATGTTTACAGATCCAATATTTTTAATAGGACTCTGAGCTAAGACAAGGTTAATGGTGGCTTTATTACTTGTGAACCAAATAAAATAATGGAAGTGAAGAGTGCTTTAAATATAAGAATGCCCAATATCCTTTTCAGTATAATGACAAGGGTACAGGACAAAAATGAAAACCAAGACAGTGACTGAAGGATGGATGGATGACTCAGCCTATCTCCACATCCACAGTGATTCATCCTGCAACGCTGAAATGTTTAGAAAATAAATCCTACTATTATACTAGAACAGACAAGACCATAATATGGTAGAGAACAAAGCATGCCAAAAGCATCATTTTCTTTTTATTTCTGTGTGACTTTTCAGTGTTCTGGGTATTACTCTTGCCTCTAATGAAACAGGAAAGAGAAATAAAATGGTAATGATAGTCTTTCATATGAAGAGGTTCTTTATGAATGAAAGTTTTTCTAAAATAGCATTTTAAAATAAAATTATGACAGCCAGGTGTGGAGGCACATGCCTTAAATCCCAGCACTCAGAAGGCAGAGGCAGGTGAACCTCTAAGAGATAGAGGCCAGTCTGGTCCAGGTTAGCTGGGGCTACAGGGAAACCTTGACTCAGAACCAAACAGCAACAGCAAAACAAAACAAGTATGTTTTATTACATTCATTTACTGTGTGTGTGTGTGTGTTTGCATATATGTGGGTATGCACATGCCACAGTGTACATGTGAAGGTCAGAGGACACATGAGAGTCAGCTGTTGTCTGCCAGGTGGGTTCCAGGGACTGAACCCAGGCTGTCAGGCTTGGTGGCAAGGGCCTTCACTGGCTGAACTATCTTGCCAGCCCCTAAATCAGTATTTAAGGATAGTTCTGGGTTCTACTGATGTTCCTACACTGGCCTGTTGAAGTTTTTTTTCTGCTCCTTGGTCTTAGGTGGAATCTGTGAGAACTGACCCTTCAGTGTCATATCATGTCCAGTGTGAGCCTCTGGGGCCACTGGCTTAGTGCACCTAACTGCGTTCATGTGAACGTTCTGTGCTGCTGGGTCTTCACTGGAAAGCTGCTTTGTGACTGGCTAGGGATAGATTCCAGCCTGAGGTGCTACAGTTAGAAGTAGCAGTTAGGCGTAGGTAGGTCGTGCTGGCTCAGAAAGCCCTTTCTAATTGCTGATACTGGCTCCTTTAATCACCACTTTGTGAATGGGATTGGGCCAACTCCACTTTTTTTTTCCCCCTGGTCCAAGGAAAAACTAATAATGATTTCCCATCTTCCTCATGCACTCCAAACAGTTCTAGCAGAACTCACAGTTCAGGGGTAATAAAAGTCCAGATAGTGTGGCATAAGGGAAGGAGGGTTTCTAAACATGCTTAGATCAGACATGCATCCATTCAAGAGAATGACGGTGTGACATACACAGCAGACATTGACCCTCATCCCTGTTTCCAAGGCATGTGCATCGCTAGAAAGGTCTGTATCATTTGCACTGTGCAGGGTGGGGAACAGGTAGGGATTGTGAAAGTAAGCAGCCCTTTTTCAGTGTGGGGCTGGCAGTTGATATCATAACTAGATGGTGTGCCTCCTACACTGCATGTCGAAAGTGTATGGTAACTTGTCAGTCCTGGCACTGTGTGTGGCCTTCACACCCCTCTGCTCTTCTAGAAGACCCTGGAAGAGCTAGCAAGCTAAGCATGTGAGAGCCCGAGTGATCTGGGGACCCTTTCCTTCCTGACAGGAGAGCAGGACTGAGCCAAAGCACG